CGCCGCCAGCCGGGCCAGGCTGGCTCCAGCACCACGCAGTTCCCGGTTGCATGGCTGGGACTGTACGGCACAGCAGAAGCCAGCTGGGATCCACTTTCTGTGGTCCTAGCCACACAGCCAGGAACCGTGTGCTGCCAGAGCGGCAGGCAGGCAGGAGGGAAGGTAAGGAAGCGGCAGGGGAAGGGCAGCAGTGCCAGCTGCGGGGAGTGGGGGGAAGTGGCAGGGAGTGGGCAAGTGTGAGCGTGGGGCCTGTGCCAGTGCCCTGGGGCCATGGCCAGCGGGGGCCCGGGTAGGGGCAGCAGGAGCATGGAGTCCAGGCTGGCAGGGACTCTATGGAGCCGGGTCGGCTCTGCCCCTCTCGCTGCCGGCACTACCAGCCACATGCTGTTCCCCACTGGGGATCTCTGCCTGCCACGGACCATAAGCACCCTCAGGCTTAACCACCCGCTTCTGCCACTGGTGGTTGGCGCCGTGCACAATGAGAGAGAAGGGCATATGTGGGGGTGCGAGGGGGGGCTCCATGCTCCTGCTGCCCCAACCTGGGCCCCTGCTGGCCCTGGCCCCGGGACACCAGCAGGGGCCCCACACTCCCATCCAGCCACTTGCTGCCACTTCCCTCCCCTCCCTGCTGTTGCTGGCCTTCGCCTCCTGCTTCCCTCTCTTCCTGCCCACTGCCACTGCTCACCCTGTCCGCCTGCCACACTCCACACTCAGCCACCCACAAGCTTCATACCCACCCACACCCCCCACAAAGCCCATATCCACCCACTCACACCCCCCACAAACATCCGCACACCCTCCCCCATACCCACACACCACCACAGCCTCCCATAAACCCTGTACCCACCCACCCATAACCCCCCACCATATACAAAAGTAAGACTTCATTTTAAGCTAGTGTACAATCACCTCTACGTACACTATGCAAACACATATAAATCTGACAAAAATACTTTTAAAAATCAAATTAATGTATGTTGTAGTAAATGTTTGATTTTTAGAATATAATTTGGTTTTCTTCTGGTTCTAAGATGCCAAACCCCCTTGCCAAAAGGAGTACTTCCAGGGGTAAGCGGAGGGACTTCCAGTGGCAAAAGTCAAGGGTTATGTGGGGCAGGACGTCTGGTTCCAAGATGATGACCAGGGGAGGGGCACCTGTTAAGGAGTGGGGCTACTCTTGCAGCCCTCGACAGCTCACCAAAACTTGTTAAGCAGCCCCCCAGCCGAAATAATTGTCTGCCCCTGTTATATCTGCTTGAATGTTGGAAACTAATAATTAAGTTTATTATTTTTGAGCTTGTCCTCAATGCACAAAGCAATGTTTGCTTCTCATCAAATGTACCCTGGCAAAAGAAACAGCAAAAGCTAACCTACTTAGTTAACTTATCCAAAGTAATTGCACAGAGCTCTTTTTGTTTTTCTAATTTAAAAAAAAAATAGACTGCTGCTAATCATGAGGGATTTTGAGATACCTACCACAGGCACCTGGCTGCAAACTGCTCTCCAAACAACCTTTATTTGAAAAGGTCTCATCTCACAAGGAAATGTTTCAGAATATGGTATTAGAAAGAGGGATCCTTAGACCAGTCCTTGACAGGTCTGCTTCTTATGACAGTTCAGTAAAGCAAGGGATACAACAGCAAATTGTCATGAAAATAAATGAGGTACTTTGCTCAGGAATACATGGGTTCACTAGGTCTGACTGCCCTTTTAGACAGTTTCCTATAAACCATGTACACCATCTAAATGATAGTGTGACAAGAAGAATACACTATATTACAATAGTTTAAATAAATTAAACATGGTAAAAAAATTCAAACTTTCAGGACCTTCACTACACACACACACTTCAGTTTATTCTCCAAGTATTTAAATCATAGCTTTTCTGGAATAACTGGACTTGCATACAATAGTCAATTAAAAACAACAAAAAAGTAGTATTAAGAGAAGAAATGTGGCCCCTTCTCCCCAGACAGAGCCATTTGGGATGCTGTACTTAAGTAATATATCCATTTATACAGCAGCAGGCCCTAGAAACCTCAATCAGAGATCAGGGCCCCATTGTGCTTGATGCAGTTCAAACATATAAGCAAAAGATGTTCCTTGCCCAAAGAGCTAACAACATAATTAACACTAACACAAAAGAAAGATGAGTACCTAACATGGCGGATTAGCTAGAACAGCGGTTCTCAACTGTTTCAGACCCAAGGGACCCTTGGAAAATGCCAGCTCTTAGCTTTCACTCTTTTTTTTTTGACTACCAAAAAAAAGAGCAATTGTTCTATTACAAAAAACTCAGAGAGGCCACAACCAGTCAAGATTTTTGACACTATGAATTCCTATTTGAAACCTCTGGATGTATCTTGTTAGATGTTTGCACAGATGTGTAACAGTGCTACTATCGCTGCTACTATTGTGCAGCACCCTACAACATCCTTAAAATGCTCTCATGACAACCTGGTTAAGTATCACTGAGCTAGAAGTATCACTGAGCTATTGCCTCAGGTTGCCATTTTGATTCCAGTTCTGGTCACCAGTCACTAAAAATTATAACCATGCGAAAGCAGTGTAGTGGCCTACATCAAATAGCTGTGACTGTTGCAGTTAAGTCACCCCACAACGACAGCACCGTGACTGGCATGAATTGGACTTCTGGCTGCAGGAAATGGTGTTCCAAAACCCTACGCAGACTCTCAGTAGTTTCAACAGGAGCACAGATTGCTCAATACCTCAAGGGACTGGGCTGTAAAAACTGAGGATAACAGGTGGCCCCAACATTAATATTCACAGAAAACTGGAACTGCTGTGTTGGTGATATGCTGATGGATATAGCCAGGAGGAAGCCGGTGGCAAAGGGAGTGAATTTCTACAATCTCTATAGAGCTACAGGAACACATTTTTTTGAAAACCACATTGAGAAAAGGGAGACTGAATCACAGCGTATGTGTACTGGGTGTGGGTAGAAATAGGCTTATAGATCTGTACTAATAAGCACTATTAATGATATCTTCAAAGTACTTTAATAGATTTCATTACGTAACTAATATATAGTAATGTATGTAAGGCTGTGTAATTATTTCATTAGTTTCACAGCACTTTCTGCAACATGCATGTGTGTGTATCTGTCTCAGGGTTATACCACCGTACTGCATTAAGCTCCCTGATGGGCTGCTGCATTGTGCCACTCAACCTGACTGCCCATCTCCCATGTATTCAATCATATCCCTGTCTAATAAGAGCTGATCAGTTCTTTCCCCCACATCACACAGCTCTGCTCCAATTTCCTAGTCCCCCACAGGTCAAAGCAGCTCCCTGCTCTTCCCAAAGCATGCTCTCTCACTTTCACAAGGAGCAATTGTACAAAGCACAGAGACTCTAATAGGCAGGGTTGAGAAAGGAAGAAACTGAATGTCAGGATGAAGATACCTTGTCACTATGTGGGCAGTGATTGGCTCGATGCCAATTTCAGCAGAAAGCTGACAGAATTAGAGACTGAGCTCGGTTAACTAGTCCTTTGTGACAGAATGGTAAATTAGCATAGAGAAATCCTGAATCACCCTCATAATGGTTATACAGAAACATAGCAACTGAAACTCTGGGAAAGCTCTTTTCTGAATGATTAAATCAAACATGGTTTTTTTATAAAAATAAAATGATTTTATTTGCCTCTCAAAGCAAATAATATACTATTTATATATATTCACCATCCTAACCAAAAGGAGCATTAGACTATCACCTTTAAAGTGCATTATATTATATATGACTGGTTCAGGACATCTCTGCACCCTCTAAAGCCCATTCCACAAGCTTCCTCCATGGTCCCTACTTAATGTGCCAGATGATCTATAGAAGTGAGGGCCCTAAGCATGGGCACATCTTCTGTGGGAACCAGGTGTTGCTGGGGGTTGTAGTTGGTAACACAGTACAATGATGGAGAGCAGTCAGCTGACTCGGGGGCATGTGACAGCCTGTATATATATTTAAAAAAAAAAAACTCCTGACCTCCTCTTGGAAAGATGAGTGCTGGTTTTTGGAGGAAGGTCCTGCACAGGTTGTCTTTTCCCCTTGGGGAAAAAAAGCAACCTAAGGGGAAGGGAATTCTTTCTTCCCACCTAGAAAGGCTCCTTGGTGGCTGATCTCAGCTTTGTTTTCATTCAAATCTTTTGTTATAATTAAGTCAGCAACTGAAGAAAGGACCTTGGACTGAACTGTAGCTGGGGCTTTTCTTTTACCCTCCCCAGATAATGAATCAGCCTATGGTTTCCAGAATCCTCCTCTTTCTCCGATTCCTCTGGGTCCCATTGCAGAGACCATAGGGAATCCAGCTGCCCTTCTGCTAGGCCCTAGCTCAGGAAATCTTCTCATGTTGTGTGGCAGACGGTTCTCAAAACTATTAGAAGGAAAACAGCCAGTTCTGCTGGTCGTCTTGTTTTCCCTCAAGATAGACTCCTTAAAGGTCTGTGAATGCATTAGAAAACTGGCTAGATCTTAGATGTTCCTTTCCTTAAAAATTAGATGGAAACCTGGAAAAGAGACTAGAAGGAAAAGTCAAGTACACTGGAATGTTCCTAGTCTACAGTAAGTAGCTTGGACTATATGCAATGCATTCGTTGTAAAAAAATCAACTCGAGTGCTTTAGCACCTGGTGCTGAAAATCCTCAACTTCCATTCAAGCCAGAGGGCTAAGCCTAAGTATCTATCAGGATGACCTTTCTTTTCGGTTAGGAAAGTGGCCGTGTAAACTCCTTGTATTTTGAAATAATCATCTTTGTAACCTTTTGTATCATGTATTCAAACTCTTTAGCACAATCAGAATTAGGGATACAAGCCTCTGTTTTTCGTCGTCTTCCACATTAAAGATGAGAGAACTAATCTAAAAACTACCACATGTGAACAGGTCTTTATCCTTATCATCATTGCCAGGATTCTTCTTGCAAGAGCAACTGACTGGCTTCAAGAGAGAGGAGGACTATGTACAAATGCAAGTCTTTGGAATTGTGGCTGACAGCCCATCGCACGCAGTAAACACCAGGCTGCTATGTGGCAACGAGTCCACAGAGAATCCAAATGTCCCATAAAGCTTTGTGACTTTGCAGCAAGGGAATAGGGAGAAAAGAATAGCGTGAAGTAAAAAAGAATATCAGAGAATATACAGAGAAGCAAGAAAACATCAGAGTGGAAAACAGAAAAAAAGAGAGAAATGGGTAAATGAAAATGAAGAAGTGAAACAAACATGAATAACAGAAGGAGTAGCTCCATTCTTAAGAATTCATTGTATTCAACACACTTAAAAACTTCCCTCACCTGTGCTTCAACTTGCGCTGCAACCAGCTGCGCTAAGAGCAGGAATATCAATCCAGCAGCTTAATACTTTGCACCCTTATGGGCCCGCCACCTCACCCGGACCCACAGCAAAATCCGAAAGGGATTCTCAAACTATCTGAAGACTATCTGTAAGCCTTAAGGAATAATATTACAGCAACTTGCGTCCAATTGACTCTATTTCCATCAAAAGGCAATATCAAATGTATTATAGCAAATATCTGGCTCCGGCACAAAAACAAGCAAAGACATTCAGAGCTGTGACTCAACTTTTGCACTTCTCTACATGGCCCATAAGCTGAACAGCACAGTGGTACACACACAATCCTGTACAGCTCTGACGTCCTCCCAGGAAAAGAAGAATTAGCAAGAAATGATCATCAAACTCTGTGGTCTGTTCTGCTTTGGTAAACTTAAGTTGCTTACAGGTATTAAAGATAGTTTCAACAGCTTGATTTCCTACTTTTTTCTACATTGTTAATAATACTAAACCTAGGTTAAAATTTCACAAAAAAGACTGAAGAAGCTGCTATATAGTTTGATTATTTTTCATGTGAAGAATATAGGGGTTTTTACAACCCTTACATATGAAGGGTTCCTGAAAGCTGATGTTAATTTAGAACGTAGAATGAATAAGAGTGTTTTTTTTCTTTTAAATCTGATAGGCTCTAATAGTTCATATATTTGCTAATATATCTAAGTACTGCTATAGTTCAGCATACAGAATTATTATAGTATACTGTAGCTTGGATTATAGTAGTAGCTTGTAGTATACTGTAACTTGGATTTGCATATTAGTTAGCAAAACAGTATTTTAACAGAACCAGATCATTCTATCGATTGGCCTGCTTCCTGAGCTGTAGACCAAAGAGCTATGGAAAGTTTCCCCTGGTGAACACAGTAGCCATTGTTTAACCTTAACATGTCCCTCTTAAATTTTTGGTGGACTTTTGTTAAATATCACCATCTAATTTATAAACTGCAAAAACAGTCACCTTCACAGAAACATTTTCAATTTATTGAGAGAGGGAAAAAAAAGCACCTGAGACCTGCAACATTTATTTTGCATCTGCGTTCCCTGAACTTAACACCTCCTGTGAAGCAGTGATGAGAACAACTGCTCCAGGCAGATGGAAAGAAGAGGAGCAGATGACGGCAGGAAAATAAGTAAAAATGGGTTTTCCATCCTGCCACTATTGACCTGTCAACCAGACGAGAGCACTAGCAGGAGAGGTTCGGGTAAGGACCTTTGACAGCGCTGTAGCTGTCAAGGGAAAGCACCGTCTCAGGAGCCTGAGACCAGCATACAGACGCCAAAAAAGGGGACAACGATGGGTCCATATGTCAAAGCCTTATGCAAGGTTATAGTCCTGGCTAAACCCGCCGCAAAACGCTACGCCGCGACCCGCATATCATCTTCACAAGACTCCAGCTCTGTCCCGGGAGCAACCGCTTCTGGGTCCAAAGCTCCTGGAAAAGAAGGTGAAAGCGGACACGGCGAACGGGACCGCCGCGCCGTGGGCCACGCCACCATACATGGAGGAAACGCGCCACGCCAAGGGGGACGCTGGACAGCCAAGCGGTCGCGCCCACGCAGGGGCTGGCGCCCGACACCGTGAAGGGCCGGCCCGTGTCCCGGGGGGGCACAAATCACTCGGGCGGCGGGGGGCCAGCGCAGCAGCCCTCCCTCGTCCCCGCGCGCGTGGGACCCCGGCGCCCGCCCCGTCACTCACGCAGGCAGATGGCGGTGAGCGGCACCAGCGCGCCCTGCCGGAGCTCCGCGCCCGCCGCCTTCTCCATGGCGGGGCCGCGCC